AATTTATTGAACAACTGCTCCGTGAATTTACACGCTACCTACAAAGGCTGTCTGGCGAGGTTTCCTACGATGGCTGGAGCCTCCTGTGCACCAAACATAGACCTGGTGCACAAGGCTGGGACGTAGCAGAGGAGCATGCACCTCCTTTCCTGATCTGCAGATGCAGTATTGATGTGAGCGTGCTGCTGGCACTCCTCCAGGCCCAGATCCCATCCCCTGTCCTTAGGGATGTGACGTACCAATCGAGGCAGCTCGGCGATGCCTGGAATGCGCTACCAGCAATGCGCTGTGCTCTGCTTCCAGCGGCACGACATCTCCCAGCTCCTCCAAGTAAGTGCAAAGCGTAGAGGTATGGCTGTAGCTTTCGAGTCTGAATCTGCTTCCTACGTGCGCTTGGACAACGGATGCGAGGATGGAAGCAAGAAGAAACGCGCTGCTGGCATGCGTTGAAAGCTGCCTCTGCGGGTCCAGATGTTCTAAATCACATGTGGAGAAGTGTTTGTGGTCAGATCTGTTTGAAACCGATTGTTGATAGCCTCCTGAGACAGCCTGTGACAAATTGTATAATAAAAAAGCTAAAAATAGCATAGTTATTCCCTGGAAAAGCAAAAGTTCCCACAATTCAGCGAGCTGGGAAAATTGTTGAACTTGCTTTGGACACAATGTGCTGTTTTTTTGTTCTTCAGCCTTCCATGGCTCCCTGGGCTTTTTTATGACAGTCTGTCCTTCTCCTACCAGCTCCGAGGAACGTTTCCGGCCCCTGCTCCCATGTGGCAGCTGGATGGATGGCCCATGGATGGAGTCTCCCCATGCGCTGACCTTATGCTTTGTTCCCCGCTGTTCCTGGCCCTTGTGGGTTTGTCTCTGTGGAAGAGATTTGCATTTATCTGTGAGGAGAGCAAGCTCTCAAGGCACGTAAGTGATAGAACCAAGGTGGTGTCCATTCACCTACTGCTGGAAAAGTATCCCCATGACTAGAACTACCTTTTGCGTGCTTTTAGTTTGTGTTTCTTTGACAACGATTACAGTTTGTGCCTTATTTTGGCATGAAATTGCAGCTTGGCACCATGTATTCTGTAGGGCTGTGGTGCTGACTCGCCGAGCATCTGACACACTGCTGTGCTCTCCTCTTTGCAATCTGGGGCATGCAGCAAATTTGAGGGTAGAATAAAACCAAAGAGACGGAGCAGAGTGCAATTGAGAACGCGGGTGTTTTGTGAGTGTTGCAGATAAAATATGTGCTGAGTTGCAGGTCTGAAATTTGGATCCCGCATGACGTCTTGAGGATAGCATTTGTAATAGATTCAATCTGCTGACAGGGTGGCTCTCCATTCCAAACCACCAGTGCAGTTGTCTCCACAAGAGCCTTCCTGCCAGGCGCTGCCTGCAATAGCATCTACTGAAAGATAGCAACTGATGTTCCTTTTTCTTCTGTAAAGATAAAATGGAATGTGTGGTGTGAGAGGAACGGCTGCAGTCGCCTCTATGTGCTCCTGCAAGGAAAAAGATGAGGAGCACAGCAGCAGCACCCAGCCCAGCTCTGCACTCTTGGCACTGCTTCCTTCCAGGTTATGGAGCAGGAAGAAGCAGAGAAATATCTCTCACTAACCATATGAATAATGTAAATACATATGTATTTCTTTGTGGGTTTCCAGTAGGTCCAACTGTCCCATGGGTCCTTCCTCCAGCAATTCTCTGGGTCCGTCGCTTGTAAATAAATGTGGCTCTCAATGTCAGGAAAGTTAATTGTCTGCATAATGTGCAGAAAGCAAAATTGCTTTTCCAAGATTTATTCATCAATTACAGTTTGCCCTGGATGGTGTGGTTTGAACCATTCTCTGGACAGGGGAGAAGCATGTGAGATAGAAAGAGAGGCAACTTGTTCTCATAAATGACCTGCTGCAGACGTGCATGATGGTGTGTTTTAGGTGTTCCAAGACAGGTATCCTATTAATAAGCTAACAAACATGCAAATGAGGAGCCAAGGACTATCACTGTACTTGAGACAGCAACGCATATATTTTGCTTGTAATTAGTGAGCGTTGCCCGGTGTCTCCGGAGTGAGGCTGTTTGCTCACCATCTCCAGTGCTAGTGAGCTGCATAAACCTCTCCCTCACCTCTCCCTCTCCTTTCCTCCCCTCCCATGCCAATGCCAGAGTTCAAGCTAAAGCTAAGTCAGCTGCAGCGAGCCCTCAAGCCTTATTTTTAATTAAGGTTGTAATGGGAATGGCGTGTTTGTTCCCCTCTGGAGAGCATGAAGATCTGAGAATGCTGTGCAGTGCACGACCGACAAAGCGGCGTTGCCAGCTGTGCTTTGAGAGGGTCAACGTGGGACACGGAGGACAGGCAAAGTGACCACACGGAGGAGCTGCTATCTGCTTTAAAATCGTTTAGCAGGATTGAGAGCATCTGGTGGGATCTGACCCCTTGGAAAGACACTCCTGCGAGGAAGCACGGGGCTCTGTGGGCTGTCAGCTCCCATGCTGGCTCTGATGACGCTGTTGTTGACCTTGTCTCATTACTGTTGTTTAACTGCCTTGCTAAGAGGCATTTAATTACTTTCCTATGTGTTAGCAGGGCTTGCTCTTGTTGTAGAGCGCAACGCGAGCTGTGCTGCCCAGAAATACTTCTCGATGCTAGGAAATGGAGGAGGTAAACCATGGTGTCCGCTCTCAGTGCTGCCACCTACAGATTGCCTGGCTCCCCAGGAGGTCTCTGCTGTGCCCTCAGCATCTCTCCCTGAAGGAATGAGATCTTCTGAGGATGGGAGATGAATGCCAGCCATTGCAGGCAGCAGCTCTCCCTCCCAGCAAGGCCCTGGGAGCTGCTCCTGGGATGGCAGCACTGGGAACAAACATCTGTCTGCTGGTAGGAGCTCCAGGGGATGGATCCTGCCCGGCCTCTGCAGGCAGCCACGTCCTGTGCTGTGCGTGCCCTCCTGGCTGTGCTAAGTGCAGTTAGGAAATCTGAATCCTTTATTCAGCACTGGGAAAAAGCCATCTGCTTGCGTAGTAGCGTATGCCCTTTTATTCATTCATGAGATAAAATGAGATGGATTTGGAAGCAGTCGGAGAGAGAATTCACATCTTTCCAGGCCATCAAATATTGTTCAATTTCTTATCATCTCAAGCCAAATCCACGATCTGATCTGAAGTCTGGAGACCAGGGAAGTTTTAAACTGTAATGTGAAATGCAATCCTCTTGGCTGAGGTAAGGCAGTCAGTCTGCTCACTGTCACACGAGAGGATAAGATGTACCACCTGGTGCCCAGATTAATGTTTGCTGTGAAAACGAAAATGTGATTCATGGAAAATCGTGCGCATGGGGAACTTCCTGTTATTCAATGTGAAACTACTTTTATTGTTATTAATTAAGCTTGATATAATGAAATGGCTCAAGATATGAATGTGCCCTTTCTCCTTCCACTGTCTCCACTCCTTTCATTTGTGTGGAATGAAGCCCATGTTTCAGGCCAAGTGCTGCTGGATTGAAACCACAGAGCACCAGGAGGAAATCACTACAGTGCTGAACATGGGGATGATGTCTCTGGAATGGTTAGTTCACTGATTAAATGGGGTAAAATTTCTTCCAGACACCAGAGAGCCACTCACAGGGATTCTAAGACACAGGTGTCACAACCTGAGCAGATCTCTGAGCCCACCTTGTGGAAACGTTGGAAAGCCCATGAGATGGCAGTGCCTCAGACCTGGAGACATTATTTGCTGTTTATAAAGGTAAGTTTTATGGCCTAAGGATATCATTCACTTTTCTGCATTGCTAGAGAAGTTTTCACATGCTCTAGTTTCAGGGGGGAGCTCTTTGGCACAGCTTTGGTGTAAGGTAACAATGGGCTGGTAACCATGGAGTTGTCATCTTCAAACGGCTGCACAGCAGCACCTGGGTGGTGCCTGTCAGAAGGAGGCAGGCAATAGCCCTGTTTCAGTCACTGCAAGAGAAAAGCAAGGCAGGTGTTGGAGATGAGGGCTAGCAGGAAAAAGAGCCTTGCTGAAAGTCTCACCACTGCGAAATCCATGCTTCCTGCATTCCTTTGATTTCTCTATTCTTTCCCATTCCTATCACCCGCTCCTCTTTCCAAGCCTGTTTCCCACAGGCCTCAGGACACCCATCCCATCCCTTACTCTGTGATGGGCTTTGCTGCTGCAATGAAGTTTTATTTTGCAGCTGAGAATAAAATAAATCTTCAGTCTGGTGGTGGCAAAATTCACTGCAGCCCACATGCTGAAAAGCCCAGGGCTGACTCTGCCACCACATCTTGTTCTACTTAAACTGCTGCTTTTAATAGACCCAAAATGTTTGTGTTACAAAAGATGTTTCCTTCTCCTCCAGCAGAACCCCGTGGGCTCTGTTCGTTTCAGACGTCCCCTGTCAGGGCTGTGCTATATTAGCTCACAGGGCACTAATGACACTGGGATTAGTGGACCACCCAACAGGAAAGTTTCCTTTTGACTTCAGCTTCAGTGGAAGCTTGCTTGGAACTTGCTGAGAGGCAACTTGAAAGATCTCATGAAAGTGCATTTCAGATGCCAGCTCCTACCTTTAATTAACCATCTGAAAGCTTGACAGCTGGGCTATACAGTGGATATGGGGAGGGATTAATTGGTAACTTTGTGTGGGAGCTAGAAATCTGGTGTTAGAAAAGCACTTCTCTGTTACACCTTTCCCCATTTCCCATTTCAGTGTTCCCCATTGCCAGTGGCATTTCCTTCTCATCAGCTTTTTCTTGGCAGAGATTTCAAATGCTGGCAAGAATCAGTATCTGCAAGACTTTGGTTGAAGACACACCAAAACTTTTGGCTTGGTAATGCTATTGAGTCGTCTTCAAGGATTCTGCTCTAAACTTGGGTTTTTGGACATTTCTGTGTGATCTAAAGCTCAATCACAGTTTGGTGGTAACCAAGGCTGCTGGTAGAGCTTGCACCCGACCCCCTGTGTGACCAAATAGCCAACTCTGGCATAAGCAGCCTTATGCTGCTCTCTAACCCTTCACTCAACAGTCACCAGGGCTTAAAGCCAACCCCACAGCAGGCACATTTATCTCCTTTGTGGAGGGGTTTAACTACCTTCTCTGACCACGTTATTGACCACCGCAGTGTCTCGCCAGCAGTTTAAGTTCAATTCCACTCACATTCTGCCACCCAAAACGATCGAGAAACTGCTAATGTGCTTTTCTTCTACAGTGTTTATTGTGCTAAAATGTGACTGCCACGCTGGGGCCTCCGGCAAGGATTGTCCCTCAGATGTCTCCTTTCAGCCAGCAGTTCTTGGCCACCTGCCCCGCGCCAGGCCGGCGCTCCGCATTGAAGTTCAGTAGCTGGGAGATGAGGGCCTGGCAGTGCCCTGGCAATGGGGGTGTTCCCTCTGGGTACAGGACCCCCTTCTTCTGCTGCTGGGGTAGGCTGCGGACGTTGGAGTCGTTGAAGGGCATGCGGCCGGTCACCATGACAAAAAACATCACCCCCAGGCTCCACATGTCGGATTTCTTGCCATCGTACGGGACGCCCATCAGCACCTCCGGGGAAGCATAGGCTGCTGAGCCGCAGAACGTGGTGCACAGGTCCGGGTAGACGTTGACCTCCTTGCTGAAGCCAAAGTCGGTGAGTTTGGCCCGGCGGCTGTCGGCAGTCAGCAGCACGTTCTCACACTTCAGGTCCCTGTGCACCAGATTGCGATCGTGCAGGTAGCGCACAGCCCCCACAATCTGTGCGAAGATGTCCCGGGCTTCAGGGACACAGGGCATCTTGCCCATTTTCTGCACCAGCTGCAGAAGGTCGGTGGCTGCCGCCTCCATCACGATGTAGAGCTTCCCGTCGCACACCTCGATGAGCTCAAAGATGTGCACGATGTTGGGGTGACGGATCCTGCGTAGAATGGAAAGCTCCCTGGGCAGGAATTTGTACACGAAGGCTGGGGGGGCTTGTCGCCTATCCACCACCTTAATGGCCAGGGGGACTTTGTGTTTGGTAGAGGTGGCTGCTTTCACCTTTGAGAAACTGCCCTCCCCTAAGGTCTGACCCAGCTTGTAGCCCAGCTCATTGAGCGCCTTCTCACCCGCACTGATTTTTGGCATGCTGGGTGATTACAGTAGGCTTTAGCAAAGCTCGTGTTTTGCTCCTGGGCTTCAAGTCTTAATACATGATGTGTGGCAATGGTTGATCTTCACCTTCCTGTGTACAGGTGCCCAGTGGGGGTCAGGACTCACCCAGCATTGTGATGGAGTAGAGAGTTGTGGGGAAGTGTGATGTCAAGAGTGTGAGGTGGGTCCCCATGGCTCTTCAGTGCCCCTGCATGCCTGTGCACATACAGGGGGAGAACACCCACTGCTCAATCACAGAACTGTTACGGTTGGAAAAGACCTCTAAGATCTTCTAATTCAACCAAATATTTTACAGTTTTTTTAACCTTTTTCTGCTCCTCACTTGAGTTTTCGAAATAGGGGTTGTCTGACGATGAGAGTTTAAACATGAGTGTTCTGGGACAAGAAATCACCGTGGGGATCCATGCCTATCTTCTACAAGATACTGGTTGTATTAAAATCAGAAGTACGCAGAGAGATTTTTTCCATCCCTAGCTACAAGCCACGTGGCCACACGTAAATATTCGGGTTTTGATTACAGCATTGCAGGGAATGGTTTTCTAGGCAGCTTTCTGACTCCGTGAGGCATGGATGGGGAGCTTTATCTTTCATAAAGAGCAGCTCTTGAGCTTCTTGAACCTGGAACTGCACTCCCTCTCTTTCAGTCAGAATTGATAAACGTGATAAAAATGAGGCATTCTCTTGCTGTAAGCTGGGGCCCAGAGCAGGAATGGTCTTTCCTCCCTTTGCAGCACTCCTCATCCACAATAGCTACTTCTGGCCAGTGCTGCTTACAGACCAGTGCCTCCCCGTGATGCTCGCATTTCCTTTCTCACTATAAAAAAGAGCCTAAGACCACAAAACGTCCGTATTTCTGAAAACAAAGCCAAATGCTATTTTTGATTTTTGAATATATGAGGGCTGCTCCAAAAGCAATGCCTCCTATTTTATTCTGTCAGCCCAGAGGCAGGTGTTGGTGGTATGGCGGTAGGGGTGGCACCTTCCTGACAACTGTTTTGGTGCTAGAATTCATCTGGGGCCAAGGGTCTCTTTCTGCTTAGGCCAGCAATAACCGTGCTGGGATTTCTGCCTTCTGAGTGGTGGATTCCTGACAATTCCATCTAGGCTGTGAATCACAACCACAGTGACTTCAGCAAGGGTTGGAGCTGTGCTTCTCAGAGGAGTTGGGAATTGGAGGTGACTAAACATAACTGAATGAATAAAGCAATGTCTTTTCACAAAGGAAAAGGCTTACACCAGGCTTCCTTTCCCTTCTTGACAGCAGTATATCTCAGGAAAATGCCATCCTGAGATCTGACAGAAGGGAGGATGTTTGTGTAGCTATAGCATAGTGGGGATTTCATGTCATAGGCATGTCCCAAAACTCGCAGGTAAGATCCTCGCTGATGGGAAAGCTCTTTGAAACCCCCGGAATGACGTAACCGAGAAAAAGCCCTGTGCCGTGCACCAGCAGCGCAGTACCTCCAAGGGGCCGGGAAAGCAAGGCCAGCTGGCAATGGGGAAACAGCAGATCCTGCAGCAAATGCTCCCCCTCCTGTACGCTGCCGGCTAAGCCGGCGGTACACGGGTTTGTTCTCTGCGATGCCGACGGATGACAGCAGAGGCTGTCTTGCAGCAGGTTCAGGCACTTGTTGAAGAGGATGTAGCCAGTAAAGTACATTACATGATTGGTAAGTGCTCTCATTTTGTTAGCAGTGTCATTTGCCCCCCATTTGCCAAGCTCTGTGCAGTGAGCTATTCACAGGTAATTGATCTCTAGCCTGTGTGATGTCTGAGCAGTTGGAAAAATGGGCCAGATCCCAGGAAAAGCACACCAGGCACACGCTGTCTCGGAAGCTGAGACACTGTGGCTACCCTTGATCCTTTTCTGCAGAATCAAACTGTGAAGTTATTTTGGGTGCTGGTATTAAAAGGACATGAAAAGCCGAAAGAATAGAAGCAAAAGGAGCTAAGTGCAAAGCCTCACCTCTGAGTGTTTTATGGAAGCCGTGTGCATGCCTGGGGTTTGCCATGGGCCCACAGCTCCTTCCTGGCAGCAACAGCAGCACTGGCACTGGAGAAAAACCGAGGTGCAGGTAGAAAGTTACGTTTGGTGATAGGTTGTGTTTGTTTTTGTTTCCTTCCTTGCATGTTTCAGGGATTGGTGTTTGCTTGAAATACTCTTGCTCTGATTTTTTTTTTTTTTTTTTGCACCTTTGGTAGATGAGGGGATCTGATGTTCACAGCAGATGTGATCCTTGCAGCTCTCTGCCCTCAGATCTTACCCATATTAGAGAATCACAGAACAGCTCTGGTTGGAGGGCCTTTCAAGATCACTCAGTTCCATCTCCTGCTGTGGGCTGGTTACCACCCAGCAGATCAGGCTGCCCAGAGCCCCATCCAACCTGGCCCTGAGTGCCTCCAGGGAGAGAACATCCACAGCTCCTCTGGGCAGCAGTGACAGTGCCACATCCTTCTGTTCAAACACAACAAATCTGTGTAGTTAGTTGCAGGACCTACAAGAGATCTAGAAATTCATCAGGATGCACAAAAAACGCTATGGACATCCATTTGATTACCTAAGCTTGCTCAGCCATGAAAGACAAACCTGAACCTGGCACTCCCAGTGTGCCAGAAACATCTCTTCATGCAAATGAGAGTTTAAATCATATGGGGGATATAAAACATGAGGCAAGGAGTTGGGAACTGGTGCATGGCAGTGGGCCACATCACCGTCCCTTGGGCAGTTTCTAAGCACCTCAGTAGGTGCCAAGGGAGGTGAAGGATGGAAAGGGATAATTGGCTGACCTGAAGCATGTTGTTGCAGCTGGCATTGCAGGGCTTCACCTGCCAAATCTCAAGCCTGAAGGCAATCAGTGAGATTGAAGTGAGAGACAAAAGGGACCAATCCCACAGTTCGGGGAGTAGGGGGTTTTCCTGTTGGTTCTGTACCAAAATCCCTTTTGGAAGGAGTGAAGATTGAGATTTTATGCTTTCATAACTGAGGTAAGCCTGGCTTAATAGAGAGCTAGGGAAAATCAGCTGCCGAGGGCTTTTCATCAGCTTTTTCTCTTTAGTGTTGGAGAGCCTGGTTGGAGGTGTCACTCCCTAAGTCTCCTAAGGGACTATTTTGTTCCCTGATTTCTTTTGTGAACTGCTTCAAGGATATATCTCAGAATGTTTCATAGCAAAATAATGCTTTGCAGTGGGCAGAAGACTTGAGCGAACCATAAGCACTGAATAAAATAGTAAAGAGCATTAATAAGTTTGGATATAATTGGAGCAGAGTGGGGCGTGAGACTTGAAGTGAAGAGCCCAAGAACTGCTGGGCACAGCTGAATGCAGCAGGGCCCTCTTGGGTTGGTGGAAATGGAGCTGCGTGGTGATGGGGGTCAAGAGAAAACTGGGGAAATTAGAAGCTTTTATTACCACACTGAGTTATGGCAGTTAAATCCAAATACAATTAAGTTAGAAAAGCAGATAAGTGTTTTGTGGTCTAGCTATCCCAAATGAGTGCCTCTGAAATCTCTTCCTTCTACTGATTTACTTACCTGTCTGTGGAGAACCTCATTGCAGAGCATTATGTATTCAGAAGGAGGTTTACTTGTCTGGCACATATTGTAATTAATTTTTGCCCAATTAAGTGCCGCAGAGCTCTGTAATTAGGACATGACAGTCTATGGTATGCAAAGTTGGAAAGTTGCTAGTGAAAGAGTATGGCTACGGAGATGCGTACAAGGTATGGAAGCTGTGAGAGGCTGCTTTCGTGATTTGCTCTCAAGATCCATGCTCAAATGCTTCCTAAGAAGTGCTTGAATCATCAGCCCAGTGAGAAGGGCTGGTTGCTGGGGAGTGAATACAGACTTGGTTGCTCAAGTGGCAGGGTGTATCCTTCTGCAGAAGACCTTGCACTGCATTTGTTGCTTTGTTTCCCTGAATACTGGGCTGCTGGCTGGACTGTCCCTGACTGAATGGTGGGTATTCCCACTGAGCACTGCTCGTGCTAAGGGAGGGCTTGCAGTTTGGCTTGGGATTTTTAATTTTCTTCTGATTCCAGTACAGCTCCCTTCCCTGCTCGTGATCTGAGCTTTAAATCTAAAACAACGTGCGGAGGGTGAGGAGCTCCCGAGTGAAGGTGGCAGTCTGCCCTCAGAAATGAAACCTGCCTAGTTCAGATGCTTCCAGGCGAGTCAGCCCCAGCAAGAAACAAATTGTTTTAACAATAGATTTAATTAGCTGGTGTTTGTACTCCTGCACAGCGTGGCGAGTCCCAGCGCACCTGCTGGCGGGCCTGTCTCAAAGCCCTGGCGTCCTCTGTGAAGGAGTGTGTGGAATGACTGAAGTGTTAAATAAGGACATCAGTAAGCGTGGCCGTTCCCTGCAGGCTGCTGGGAGCAGCGCGGAGAGGAAGGCAGCGCTGTCTTGTGTGAAACGGCACAAAGAAAATAAACACGACTGCAATGCAACTTCAGGGAAATGTTTTTGTATCTTCAGCTAGATCGCAGCTCGTGATGTCCTGCTGCTGTCATTTATGCTCTGAATGCATAACACTTGATCTTTGACAACTGGGACAGCTTTTCCTGAGTGTATGCATACAAGGAGATGGTGGGGTCATTTTGTTCTGGGGCGTTGCTTTCCTTCTTCCCCCTCCAGCCTAGCTCTGGTTTATCTCAAGTCAGAAATAGTTTTCCTGAATGCCAGGCCTGAAAACTTGTCGTTGGCTCTGGTGGTCACTCTTTCACGTTTCTTCTTCCCTCTTCCTGGGTCATTACCTCCCTACAGATTATGTTGCCCCAAAGGCAGTCCTGTTGCAGGGCAACAGCCCTGGGATGCCAGCTGGCTGTTCCGGGCAGCACATAGCCAACACAATCATTTTGAAATACAGAGTATGGACAAATAAATCATGGTGTGAGGAACACCAGGCTACGTGTAACTTAGAAGTACTAGATTACAGAAGCAGGCTTTGCTTTGTTTCCCTTGATTATGCACCCTTTCATTAAACTGGGAGGTGGAAAGAAATGTTTGTTTGAGGATACCTTGCTTTGCCATCTCTGGGCAGCTGATGACTTTTTCCTTGCAGAGGAAAGGTCCTAGTCCCTGCTGCTCCTTTTTCCAAGCAAACGTTAAGTAGGCAGCATCTTCTTGGTGCTGTGCTCTTTTTCTTGGTTCTTGCTTGTCTTCAGTCTGTACAAATGCACTGGCTGGTCTTGTTTGGCTCTGTTTCCAAGG